AAATTTGGTTCAATCAACACAATCAATAGTGATTTTAATTTTTCATGTTTGATTTTTTTAGTCTATTCAGTTTGATTTTCAATATATAAATTTTTCCATCAAATTGATCAAAAAATCGAACATTAACTAATTTATTTTTAAATTATTATTATACAATTTTTTACAATCCTTATTAAAATATTGATTGTTGGAATTTATGTGTAATTCCTGGAAAAGTTAGATTGAATTTCGCTTTAAGTTACCTTGCGTGTTTTTGAAGTTAGTTGTTCTTGAAAAATGTTGTTGAATGTTTGCTTCAGTTTGTTCTTGAAGCGTTTTGTTAGATTTGCTATGTTGCAATTTTATATTTTTTCATATTCATTAAGCCTCGTGGACATGTTGAATTGTTACATTTAAGAATAGTTTGCCTTAAGGCTTGAAGTTCGAGAAAAAGGACTAGTAGAAGTAGTAGACGATCATCCCAGTCGTCTATGTTTTCACTCTGTCAGCTGGGCCTGACCTTGTATACCTAAAACCATGCAGGGGCAGGGCAATAGGCTTGATCCCTCAACAGTCACTTTACAAGCGCTTCCCATGCAAATGTACGGCAAGCATAAATCAAGCACTTCATATTCGTAACTAACTTATAAGGAGAAAGGAACAAACTTCTAACCAGAAGAAGCATAAATACTAATGTCTCATAAAAACTGCAAACAAAAGCAGCAAAAGAGCACCCATTTGATTGTATATTAACTACAAGGATGACAAAAACAATCCACGACTTAGCTATAAACTTGCATGATCAAAGGGAGAAACCAATCTTTTTCCCTATACACTTTTTTCATCTATATTTTGCATTTACCGTCCTCCCCATGGTTAGAATACTGTCAGATATAAAGGTTTCAACTTACTCTGTACATAATCCATCCATAAGCAGTTAAAGAGCACCCAGGCCCAGCATCTCTCAGGCGTATGTCCATACCCAGTTTATGGTGTGGTGCACTAGCCGTCCCCTTGTTGAAAAAAGCTGCCACCCAGCAGCAATTGAAGAAGGAAAAAGAAAGAGAGTTATTGAAGATAATGACTCCCTAAGATATGTCTATATAGCGACTACAGCAAGCTTGATGCAGAATGACATTTGATGCCAAATGCACAACAAACAGCTCATTTATATGCCACCACAGCAAGTTGATTTTCTCAGCAAGATGACTGTTCAGAAACACTACATCCATATTTCAGCATGTAGTCTTAATGGTCATCTAATCTTGAGCAGAACTAACATTTCTGGCATCTGCCTTCTTACTAGCCTTTGTCTTGCCCTTACCAGGAGATCTGTCATCTCCAGGCACTTCAGCCGTGAGCCTTCCCATTTTTTTCTGCAGATCAGCAAGCGAATCCTTTGAAACTTTTACTTTGGGACTCTTCTTTTCATTGGCAAGCTTTAGCTCCAGTCTATATAAAGCAAAAGCATCACAGCCATAGATCTCATATTCAAACAAGTGCCACTCATATTGACCAGGAGGTTGTGGGTCCATGTAATATGACCTCTTCTGCCCCCCAAATTCCTTCATCACTTGCTTCCTTGATTCATGCCAACCACGTCCAGAGTAATCTGGTAACGACCTTTGCTTTCTGTTCCCGCTCTCAAATGCCCTTCTAGGCTTATCAAAGAAGAGCCACTCTCGGATTATTTCACCCTCAAGTAAAGAGAGATCAAATAGCTCTGCAATATCAAGACATTTGTTTGGTTAAAGAACAGAGAAGAACAAGAAAAAGGACGACAGGCAGCAAGGTTTTTAATATCCAAGTAAAATATGCAAGCCAGAATTCCCAAAAACAAAAGAAAGCAGTGGGCAAAATAATCAGACACTATATTTCACATAAGAAGCTGAACCAAATCATCCCACATTGTCTACTATAGCTGCAAGAAAACAAAAGAGGCAAAAGCATATTAGCTTACCTGTAGCATTCCAAGGAGATTTCATGGTAGCAGCACCTTCACATTGAGGGATGCCAACATTTTTACCCTGTGTCTTTGCTCGAAGTGCATCAAGTAACAAATTATCCTTTAAACTGATTCCACCAGGACGTAGAATTGGAGTCATGCCAGGAGGGTCTTCATTTAGAGCTAGAGTAGCATGAAAGCTGCTACAGTAGTCATAATACCAATCAGATCCTTGACCAGGCCTAGTACAATCCCAGAGAGCACATTTTGGTCCCAAGAAAGCAGACGGTGGTGGAGAGATATTTGGTAGAATGTTGGGGCTAGCATCCTTCACACAATCTTCAGCACCATTGGCACCAATGAGAGGCCCATGGTCAAACTCCTGCTGTAAATCAAATGGATGATAATCCAATTGATAATTTATGTCAGCATTACCAACCACTGTGGTCTCCAAAGCTGAGGTAGAAACTTTACATGGATCAAATCCTTGAAAATCATGCTGTTGTGGCTCATGATTCACTAAATAATCCTGAGGTAGAAAATGTGTTTTATTGATCAGCCACTTCCCGGCAAATGAGTTCACGTGAATGATTACCAATAAACCACTGGAAGCTCACAAAAACCAACCAAACATAACCAGAAAAGAAAAAATACTGATGCAAAAATTCAACTCAAGAAAACATCATGTAATCATTTATATGTTTATCTCTTCATAGATTTATGCTTGGACCGCTAAATCAATGAGTCTTTCAAAGAAATCTACACAGTTGAATATTTTTGCTTTAAATTTCTGTTTGAGACAGATTACACATAAAAGTCAAAAATGGAAGCATAATGATCAATTCAATTAAGTCATGTCTAATATCCAGAAATCTAAGCGAGAAGGTGTGTGTTCAAATAAGCCATCATCACCAAAGTTACTTTAAAAAGAAAATGACTATTATTAGGAGAAAGAAAATCAACATACAAGAGCTAATATATTTAAAGACACAAATTTATGCCCTTTATGTGATGCACTTTGCACATACGAAAGTAAAAAAGTATGAGCAACACAATTAAGGAACATGCATACCAATCAAGTTCAAAGGGAACAGGTTTATCAAATGAATTAAACTTTTGGCACCTGGACTTTACCAATGTTCCTACTAGAGAAGGATAGCTCCACCCAGTCTTGCTTAATAAAGACATATATTGACTAAAATCAAACATAAACTTCTGGTTCACAATTTAATTTCCTTTCTTTTCAGAGAAATAGTGTTTTACTACGTTTTTTTTTCAAAAGAGAGAGAGAGAGAGAGCTAAAAAAAGGGATAAATATTTCTCCATATTAACAATCTCCCTCAGAGATATAGCTCTCACCTCTGGGACTACCGGTAAATTACAGGGATTAAGGCTTTGAACATCAGTTTCAGGCTTCAGCACTGCTGGTCCCTTTAATGGACTAGACGCATCATCTTCCTCCTCATATAGTAGCAACAACCGATTTATATCATCTGAGAATGATCCAAGACTACCACCCTACATAAAATTAATCAAACGTTACTTCATCCTCAGGCAAACAAACAAAAAAAGAAAAAGAAAAACAATCCAATGAGTTCACAAACAGAATTTACCCCCCATTCTATTTACAGCAAACTAGAGATTGATACAAAAAGTTTTAAGTTAGTGTTGATAAAATAAAAGATACAAACAAGTAAAGAAGTGGTGGGGGATGGTGTGCAGAGCTCGGCTTTCCACTCGCGAAGACTCTGATAAACTTGCTCCTCCAACACTGCAACATCAGCAGCTCGACCTTCCTTCCTAGCGGCTTGAAGATCAGTGAACCGTTCTTGAAGATTATTGAGCCGGTTCTTGGCATTGTCCACCATCAGCTGGTGTGATGCAGACGTACATTTGTTCTTTGAGATATTCTGCATTGCACCCTCCTCAACCCAAACCCTATTTAAACCACAACGAATGAATTCAGGAAACCTTAATATCTAAGAATTTCAACCCTCAAATCACGCAATTAAAAAAAATAAAACAATGATGAAATAACTGAATGTGGACATGAGGAAATTAAAACCTTTCACCAAAGTGATCCCAAAACTAGCTACCTTTCCAGTTTCCACTGTTTCAATCCTCCCAAAAACCCTAATAAGAAACCAGAACAAGTAATTTCCCAGATTGAATACAAAACCCAAAACCCTGAAAAAAAAACAAATAAGATTTCAAGTTAAAGGATGGCTTAATGATAAGAAAGAAAAACTGGGTTATTGATTTGATCTCCCAAAGCTTTCCCAAAAATTCCAACTTTCAGCTTTAGGGTTAAAAAAAAATGAAAAGAACAAAAAAAAATAAGAAATAAACAGAATAAATACATTACCTAAAGAGTTTAAAGAGGTTTGTTTGGCTGGAAGGATTACAAGGGATGATATTACATGCGAAGGGGAAGGGGAAGAGGAGTGAGGGTCCAGCGCATCCTCCAGATAAGCAGAAGCAGCCCCGGCAAGCAGGAAAAAGACCGGGCACCTATTTATATTACCCACTTGTTGTCGTTTTCCTTTGTAGCTTTTTAACGCATTAAACCGTATAAATATGTCGGGTGAAGTTGAAAACTTGAACTTTTACTCATGATCATGTCGGGAGCCTCTGTCTTAAAGAGGAGGAAACAGTGAAATTCGCCATACTACTAGAGTAGTGCGACAAACAATTACATGACTTATTTCTAGAGTCAATTTACATGTTTCTAATCATGAGTTTACTATCTTGTTTATATTAACAGGAAAATTTACAAATTATAAAATAAAGAAAATTTAACATTAAATTGTTAAATTAATATGAACTCATCTTTGGGGTTTTTAAGTGTATTGGGTAATAATCCTTTTATCCTTGTATCATTTGTTGGCTTCATAATAAGATCACAAAAGCATTACCATCCAACATCCAGCATTGATGTTTCACAGCGAGCTTTAAGCAACCGTTTAACCAATACAGGTTTGAACTAACCGGGACGTTTTCCAATTCGCCGATGGTCAAATCAAGCTAAATTCAGCAGAAGCTGAAGAATTTTGAAAACTCCAATTACGACCAAGCCCATTGTATCATATCCGATAAGGTAAAGCTTTTGTTTTTTTCATTGTTTTATGGGAGTTCGAAGGACTTCTGTGGAAAGCTTGTACAGTTGATATCTAGCCACGTGACTTATCCCAAGCTTTTATACACAAAATTCTGTTCTCTGGATGTCACCAATTCTTTGCAGAAACACGCAACATAAATTGTAGGCACAATGAAACCAAAATTCACCCACTTAGACCACTGTTGTAAATAAACTCAGGTAAATTTGCTCTCACATCAAAGCTTAGGGCTCAGCTTGATTTCTGTGATAATCAAGACAGTTGTGCTTTTCCATCTTCAGTGCCATGCGCATGCCTGAAGTTGAATAAACCAGTAAGTCCTCGTCCTCTGGCCAGTTGTTCTAGCTCTTCAATTTTGTGTTTGAGCAGCTCAACTTCCCGTGCTAAATCTTCATCTCTTTGTTTCATCACCTAGGCAGTAGATAAAGGACTAACCATTAATAAACAAGAGTATGCATTTGCCTCACTATGATGGCAACATGCATCGTTGCATGAACACAACTTTAAAAATAGTTCATCGATAAAACTTAAATCGCTTCAAAACTTATCATTACAAGACTAAAACCACCAATGTTCAGTAATAAAAGTTGATTACCTCCAAACTTGATAAGACCTTGTTGAAAGATTTAGTCATTACCAATTGATACAATGTACTTAGAGTAAACAATAAAACAAAACACCACATGAGAGAGAAGGATTTATTACAGCAGTAACCTCAATCAGAGAGAAAAAAATACCTCCAGTTCTTGTTTGCGCTGCTCCTCTTTTCTTGCTTCTGATCTGGAACTTCTTTGCACCTCAAAAATAACAGCAGCTCCTGCAACCTAAAGAGAGAAAGAATAAGGATTATTTCAAAAAGTATCAGAAATCTTACTACAATGAGCTTTGTATGAGAAAAGTAGTCATGGAAAGGGGCTTCACCCATATGCTTTGCATGAGAGTAAAATTCATCAGCAAACAGACTTGAGTTGGATGTAAATGTCCTATTGTTTCCATTCACCCTACAAGCCATTGGCATCTTTCAGCCTGAACTGCCTAACTTTAAATGCAATCTTAGAACATTTGCCAGTGGAAACTCACTGTACACGAACATTAACTGGATAAAATGTGAGAGCAACCTAATGGTCATCTGCCTTTTTGATGATTCTCAATCAAGTTAAGGTCTTATCTACAAGCATGCAGTGCATTTGTTAAGAGTAACCAGACTAGAAATTTCTTTTTTTTTTCTTCTGAAAATTAACCAGACTAGAATTTTCTACCATTAGCTGGATGATCATAGGGGAGGAGTTGCTGGTATGTATTTATGGAGGGTTCATAATATCACTTCAAAGAGAAATTTGCTAAAGTTTTCAAATCGCATCATTAAATACTTCGAAGTATATTGCCAATAATTTTATGATGCTGTACCCAAATAATCTACTGAACTGGAGAATGCAGATCATATGTAATCTGGGTTCCAGTACCACACCGACCAACCTCTTCGACTTGGGCATGCATTTTTGACATCAGAACATTAGGCAAACAGAAGCCTAAATCAGTGAATAAGAAATAACATCAACCTTTTTTTAAATACAGAAGGTCAAGAGCCTCTGTTTTTCAATACTGACCTTTATGCAGACAACATTAACAAAAACTATACAGAGGAATAAATGTAGTTTCAGACCCATGTAAGCTTGAATAATATCAAGATCAAGAACAAGAAATTGGAACAGGTAATGTACCGTGAATACAAAGAGCTCCCCTAGAAGATCTGCAGCAGCTTGGACAGCTTTCTCCTCATTCAAAGGGCGTATTGCAACATCTGTTGCATGACCATAAATACGTCTTTGCATTTTTGTCGTGAATTGATGATTTGCCTGATTCAGTATCAAAAAAAAAAAATCATACAAATTTAAAATAAAAAAAGAAACATTTTTTCTTTTTTTTATTGAAAAAATTGACTTTATCTTCTGCAAATGCGGGTAATAAAAGGCTTCTTCCTCCTTTTGGGGTTGGGACAAAACCAAATAAAATTGAACTAACAAGTTTGTAGATGATAGAGGAGAAAGTTCAGAACATTTCAATCATTTTGTAAAACAAGTTACTATAAGTCTGAGTGAGTATAGGCAGAGTAGAACATACAAGGCGCTGTGCAAAAACAAAAAGAAGATATAATGAGAGCATGTGCATGGAGACACGCATAAGCACTCCTTCCGACTCAGAGAAGAAATCCAACAAGAAGCACCTTTAAACTATAGGCAAGAAACTCTGTCTATAGAATGCATAGCAACACCTCACCCAAGGTATAAACTGAACATTTATGGCTGAATTGTACTAATTATCAGCCTGTCAAGCTACGAACAGGAGCTGAAGATTCCAAATATTTAAATAGATGCTAATCAGATGTTAAAAGTTCAATTGCGGAGCAACATAACCCCTAACAATTTAAAATATGCATACTTAAAAATGTTAAAATTTAACTGGCAAGCAATTAGGGAGATAAGAGGCATGCTACTAATTACAAAACAGAAACTTAACACAATGCTAATATTGGATCAAAACCATAACCGGAGGGTGGGGGGCCGTTAATCAGAGTTCATACAACTAGCCAATAGCAAAAACGCCAGAAAAAAAAAACAAGACACAACCCAGAATCAGCATACACGAAACCGGTTAAAAAACAATAATAACAAAAGCTCAGATATGATTACCGGAAAGAAAAAGAAAAGGAGTACCTGGGCAATGTTGATGATAAATTGGCGGAACCTGGGATGTAAACCAGCCTCTTTCTTGAGACGATTAGCAATGGGTTTGCAAACGGTTTTTAGTGCAAGGGTTCCTAGCTTTACTACTGGTAGAATCATGTCATCTCCCCCTCCTCTCTCTTTTGTTCTTCTCGTGGGAGTTTCTGAATGATAAATTTAAGCTTCACCAGTCATCAGAGATCAGACACAAGCTGTTGGATGCTTTGATTCAAAGAGGGACGTAACCGTATGTAAGACTAAAGAAAAAGAGAAATAGACATAGAATAAAGAGTAAAACCGTTGTCAGTGGACGTAGGGGCTTTCTAGACAGTCGATCCTTTCTGTCTCCTTCGGATCCGAGTCACTCCAGAAAAAGAAAAGCGAAAGAAAGAAAAAGAAAGAAGACCGAAAACTAAACCCAATAAAAGAAAGAAGAAAGAAATGGTGGTGAGAGCCCAACCCACAACAGCCCAGCAAGTACCCAAACACTATGGAGCAGGATGAAGAAAGCACACTGCAGATTTGTTCCTTTTCACGTTGGCATGAGTCTTAACTATTATAAGCCTCAGCCAACTAGATTAGCAATACAAACACGATGAAAGCAAGAGAGTTGCTTCTTATGATAATATTCCGTCGGGGGAAGCACAAGATCAATATTGCTACTTACTCTTTTCTATGCACATTTTTTTTAGGGGGGGGTGGACACCAAGCCATTGAATAATAACATTAAATTTATTAAATTTATTGATATAATAAACAATTTACAGAGTTGCTCTCGCTATAACAAGTGATGAAGGCTCTCTTATTAAAAGGACTTAAAAGAGTGGCTAGCAATGAGTAGACCTTCTGGTTTAAGTAAAATTTAATAGAAGCGAGTGTAACATCCTATCAGTGCTGAACCGAAGACCAAGAATTTGCATCAATCCAGTTGAAAGCTATAGGGCTCAGAAAAGCATCAGGAATGCCAAAGGAACTGACTAAAGCAAGCGCATGTGGTCGAAGTTCACTGCAGACTTTAGTTATTTCTCTCCTCACAGCAGCAGCATTGTCCACTGACAGGTACCCATATCGGAAAAATGCAACATCTTCAATATAAATTAAGGCATACAATGATCTCAACATACCTAGGACATCCTGCAGCAGAAGAAAGTGAAGACTCAACAACCTAGCTAATACACAAAGAGCTGAAAATATCTTGTAACACCTGAAGCATGCTTTCAAGGTTATATTGACAAACATGCATAGTTTCTTGAATATATAGTTCACTTCCATCTGCAAATAGCAGAGAATTTCACCCATCTGTGACTCACATATATGATAGCAATTCTTTCTATTTACCTCATTTTTTTATCATATTCATCCCACAGTATCTTGTAACTTTGCTGTGAGGGGGAGGTTCACTGAACTAGAAATGGTAATTGGCCAGCGCAGGTGAGGTTTGAGTTGTTTCAGGTTTGGGTTAGACCAGGTTTTAGTTAACTTTTCAAGTCAATTAAAGTTGGGTGAGTCAGGTTGTACATTTAGATCAGATTAGCCACTTTTACGATAGCATAGATAAAAATCAGGTTCTAGTAGCTTTGGTCCTTTCAAGCGCAAGCCAATTGACTTTTCAATTTTGGTTGGCTTGGACAGGGTTTTGTAAGGGCTGGCCAAGTCAATTCAGATTAGGTTCACTTGTACCACTTCTAGATTAGACTGAATATCAAGTGGATGCTACTGCTAGATGCTCATATGAGAAACACTAATTAATTGACCTTCAAAGGACCGGCAGCTAGAGTTGCTTCTGCCTCAACAAACTTTTGGAATATTGCACGATCTGAGAAAGCTCTGCTCAAATCCTCTGCTAGCTGATAACTCTGGTGTGGAAAAGTGATGCAACAATTAGACTAAAAGGTGGAGAAAAGGAAATCCATTAGATAAAACAAGTGCTTCCTCACCATAATGAAGGCATGCTCTTTACTTTCTCCCTTGGCTTGATGTTGTGAGACATCCACGACAAAACGTTTCAAAAGATCTCTCTCCCTTAAGCACAAGGCATCCATCTAACATAGGACAACAGTCAGAGATGCCCATATAAATTTATATGGAATGTTAAGAATAGCAAAGTTGATGTTAATCTTATTTTACCTGGAATTGGCTGCATCTGAGGGTAGCGCTAGTAAGCTGTGATGGAATGACAGGACAGGGTTTATTCATGTGTTCTAAGCCCAGACCCTGGAAAGCCCTGTTTTTCTTCTGAGCTGCAACATATTCAGCAAAAAGAGCCTTGCTGACCTGAGTTAGAACATGTTTAATCCATAAGTTTCACCGTTTTAAACAGAGTTCTTAATTAAAAAACATAGAGAATAATACTTTTTTAATATTTATAAATATATGCCAAGAAAATAAGCAATAAACTGTTAAGTTTGACCTTGGCAGATAATATGAAGAAATTATGGTTAACCATTCCTTGAGATGTTATGAACACAAAATCCAGAAAGACAATTAAGATTAACCTACACAACTTGTTGGCCATGGCCGAGAAGGCAGATAATCATCTTGATTCTTTTAAAAATAAAAAATCCCGAAACAAATAAACAGGACTCATTTCCCAATTCTGCATCTCAACGCTTTCCTTTTTCTTTGAGGTCATGTTCTCAGACAATTTACATTAGTTGTAAGTTGTAACCAGTTGTCTTTGTCAAAGAAAATTTGTCAGGAAACAAGATAAACAAATTACCTGCTGCATCAAAATATTATTGTCCCCCTCAAAAGTGGATTGCACATCATGTTCACCTTTAAGATGACCAACACGATTCTCAGTCTTTAATCCTTGACCTCCACAAGCTTCACGACATTCCTGAAGCATTCAACGATGGAACCTCTGTAATGACACTTACTGTGAATATATTCAACTAAATCCACAATTGTTTGTTGCTCACCTGAAGTATTTGCATGTTATTCCATGTAAAAATAGCCTTGAATGAACTTGAAAATACATGAATGGTTTTGTTTGACTGAGGTGTCCTCTTCACATACAACATTTTCAAGTAATTTGCTGCAAAACTCATAGCATAGCTGCAGCATATGAAAGCAAATAAACACACAAAGGAGCATTAATCAAAAGCAGCAGCTCTAACTAAATTATTACAGGTCCCATCACAAAACAATTGAATTGAAATATGTGCCTTCACCAACTTTATGCCAACATTAAAATCCAAGACCAAACCTCCCTAGCTATAACTTCGAATATATTAGCAATTAAAGTAAATGCTAAGTTCTTATAATTAACCTAGTTGACACTCCATATACAAGGATCAGGTGTTTGCATCCAAGATCTAATATTGGGATGTTTATTCATAAAATATGCCAACAAGAAGAGATGGTTATCCAAATACAATAAAATCTACACCCTAGAGCACCATATAAAATATTAATTTCACCCCTTATATGTTGTTAGCAGCCACAAAAATAACCCTGTCCTGATCATCTAAAGTTCTAAACCACTAAAGCTACACTCAAAGTGCATCAATCAGTCTGAACCAGAAAGAAATAAAAAAAAAAAAAACACAACCCCACTGAGCTACTCCTTCAGGACATTAAATGATGAGCAAATGCTGAGAAGGCATACGGTTTCTCTACATATGCATAGAAAAGAACTAATCTACCAAGCCAGGGAAGAAAAGCATCTTCATGGTGAGTCAAGCTACAAGCATTGTAATTGGAAGTGCGAAACACAAACTTAACTCCATAAGAGCTTCAGTAGGACACATGTTTCATAAGATAAACAGCAAATATACTAACGTCTTTGCAAGGAGAGGCACAAGTCGTCGTTGATGACTTGGGTAATCAAGCAATAAGACTTCAGGTTCATTTGGTTTGACAGAAAAAGCCCGCCTTGTTAATGCATACCTAATGGCAATTGCCAAGCCAACCTGGAAGGAGAGCAGTGACATGATATGAGCAACCTTTCCATTTGGTATTAGTGACCTGCCACCCCACCCCACCCCACCCCAAATTACAAAAATACGCAACCTTCATCTGCCAATAGAAGGGACGATGCTTGAAAAAAAATACCATGATACCTTTGATTGGTAAACTGCACTAACTGCAATATTAACACGACCTGCTGTCAACGGGGCCAGGAATGCAGCAAATCTCTGAATTAAAGCAACAGACATGTAAGTGCCACCAATACATTGTTACCAGCTAAACAAGGATCCTGTTATGGGACAATACATGGCTCTAGAAGCAGATACCAGTCATCTCAAATAGGAGTACCTGATCTGGATCTTTTATTGAACTTAGATATTTTCCATCAGCTGACACATCAGCAACTGAATTTAACAAGTTCTCTCTGGGCACTCTAACATTGTCAAACCTGAAATTGCATACACAAACCTCTAGATCAGAACTTTTTTTTAAGAAAACAAAAAGATTAAAGAATTCATGGTATAAGTGTAGGTATAGAATTACCAGATTCGACCGTTATCAACACCATTTAAACCAATTTTATGACCACAATCAGCAATGCGAATGTTTGGGCATACATTACCAACAGCATCCCTGATTTGGGCTATAAATGCATGAACACCTTGATTGGTTCCATTGATATTTAGCTGTGAAAACACAATTGTATGTGTTGCATGCTAGGCAACAAAGCAACAGTAGGAGCATAGCATGTCAGCATATAGGGAAAACTGAGGGATGGATTATGAAAACAGCTAAATGAATATTCACATGTGCAAAGGAATCTAAAAAGATGGTGAAAGGAGAGATAGTGTTTGGTTTTAAGACAAGTTCTTACGTTGGCTGCCCCGCCAATCCAATACTTCTGAGCTGATTCACAAGAAGTATTAATGACAAACTCCCCTGTGTTTGAATCATATGTGGTTACTGTTTCAATGCCACGAACCTAAAAATAATAACCCAGAATAAATCAGGAAAAAGAGCAGAATACTACATAAAAAATCACACAAAGGCTTGATCCTTATTCCTAAAGGACTTGACAACCTTTACATACATTACTTCCATGTCCCAACTCAGTCATTGCAAAGCAACCCTTGATCAAATAATTTTCAGTGTCCCTCAGCCACTTGTCATGGTGGTGCTTTGTACCGAAAAATTGGATGGCACCACCCCTGCAAACATTTATGACAACACAGCACTGAGTTTCAAATTTCTTCTGTTCTACTTCAAACACGTTGGCTAAAAAGGCATGTCTACAACAAGTAATTAAGAACTTAAATGAAGTGTAAGGCAACAAACAGCCCTTGGTCCAACTGGACTTTGAACTTCAATATGATAAGACTTTGGATTATTGGTTTGATACGTACTGCTCAGTACTCATCACTTTCTAAAGGTTGGTAAAAAGCAAAATCATATTTGATTAAAAAAAGATTAAGCATAACATATTTTCAACTAAAATTACTCCATAGAAAGTAAAATAATGCATTTTATTACTCAAAAAATATCAAATTTTGCACGTTTAAAACAGTTAAGTGTTTTCTATTGAA